GAGTTCTTCTTCTTCCTCTTCTAAGTCCACCATCTCTTCTCACCCTCTCACCACCTGACTTCTCAGACTACGACAGAGAGAGACAGAGTTGTGACTTGAGACTTGACGACATTGGATCCAGACTTAACATTTCGGATTCAGACATTTCAACAAGGGACTATTTGGGCCTGTGCCGAAGACTTGGTGTTGACGACATTCCCATCTTTCCCCTCCTCTTCGTCTAACCCCTTCTTCTTCGTCTGTGTATGGTAGGGGCTGGCGCAGTCTTCCTGTGTGAAGCGCCAGGCCCCATTCACACCATGTAACGATGGTGATGATGTATGTTCAGGGCTGCATTGCAATATTGATTGTTCGGATCACTGGTATCTAAGTCTTCCGCTGTGTTATCTTATACTTTGTATTGAGAGGTCGGTTCTTGTTCTGGTCTGCACGTTACAGTATGCAACAGTTTGGTATCGGAGCGGACCTCTCATTCAGAGGACCCGCTCAATCAAGTAGCCAGCTTGCTAATCTATTGATCACTCATTAGTAAAGCAAGTAGGACTTCGTCAAATCTCTGAAAAAAAAATTCTCGTAACAACTATCTGAAAATTTCTGATATTCGCATTTCGCTTTACCTGAAAATTTCTGATATTAGAAGTTCGTTTTTTTTTTTTGTTTTTTTTTTTTTAAAGAAAATCAGGGCCTTATGGTCCCGGCTCCATTCTATTCTGGGGAGCGTCAGTCCGGTTCCTATTCCACCGGCAAGTCAAAAATTACATCGTTGGGACTCACTCACGCTTCCTTCCGTAAATATCTGAAAATTTCTGATAAATCGCATTTCGTTTTGTCTGAAAATTCCCGGTAGTAGCATTTCGTTTCTCTGATATTTCGCACACATAGCTGAAATTTCTGAAGTTAGTATTTCGTTCTCTAGGCATATTGGGATAACGATAGAAGTGGTCATCTTCTCGGAAACTGAAATTATTTTTTTCTGAAAATCGAATTTCCATTCTATCTCGCAAATTTTTTTTGAAAACCGAAATCTTGCGAAGCCTACCAATATTGCGTTAAGCATATTCGGAGGTTGCTATATTCTCAGAAACTGGATTTCGTTCTTTTCTGAAAATCGCATCTTTACTCCTTTTTGCAAATTTTTTTTCAAGATCGCAGTTGTAAAAGCCGAAACTTTGTGGACCCTAGCCTAGATCTCGTTCATAGTACTCTTCTGACATGTCCTACTCATAATAGATTGACAGATATCCAAAAAAAAA